TCTCCCTCTCTCTCTCTCTCTCTCTCTTTCTCTCTCTCTCTAGTTTCTGTCTATCTGTCTTGCTTCTTCCCTGCACTACCGTATATGACATTTTTATGACTGTTGCTGTGTCTATGTGCTTCTCATTCTTCAAACTCAAACTTAAACTCGAAAAAAACACTCCTCCCCCCTCTCCCTCCCGCAGACCGACCAGCACACGGGGAGACAGACGTGTGAGTGCGACTCCTGCACACAGACGGCCCGTTGGGTCAGCTCACTCGGACACAGCTGTTTCCGCCCCGGACTCCATGACGTACCCTGTGCTTAAACCGTCACGACTTGAAACTTTCACCGTCACAATTTTGAACGGTCACCGTCACTGCTTTAAACGGACACATATTAATTATTATTGAGGGTAAATTGGGTGGTGCCCTGGTGTGGTTTGCTTCTTCTTCCCTATCAAATATATATCGCCCTTATCTCTCCTCTTCCCGGTGTTTTTTGTGTTTCTTACTCTCTTATCACACCTCAAATCGTTCGCACTTGTGTGATCTAATTGTGCTGCAAGTGCAGTAAAACTCTTACTAAAACAAGATCACAGATTAAAGGAGAAATACCACGTGTTTATATCAGTCTTTACACCCTTCTCTCGACATATCCTAAGAGACACTCTGTACTTAAACTGACCACAAATTTAACTGACCACAGACTCGAGGACAAGAAAAATCACATTTTCACGTTTTTATATTCTTGCACTCTTTTCTTGATTTATTTCAACCAAATATGGTCTCCCATTCTGTAGATTCGTGAGTGGCTGGTAGGTGCTCTGGTATGGTTGGTATGGTTTGTTCCTTCTTTCCTATCAAACATCTGTCCTTCTTTATTTGCTTTGTACCCGGTATTTTATTCTTTACTAACACCTCTAATCTTCGGTACTTATATGACTTTATGTGTTATAAATGTGGTAAAACTGTAGCTGCAAATAAAAAGAAAACTAAATGAAGATTCTTATAATGTTGTTTGTTGTAACCCCAAGAAGACGTCATCGCCCGTGACTTTGGCGCCTGATGTAACCGTCCGTTTGTGCCTACATTTGGTAGCTTTTGAGCACAAGTGGGCTATCCCGAAAAATGCTGTTTCGAGAAAATCGAAGGTAAAGATTTTGCCCCTTATTCAGTTTCTTTAAAAGACAAGGAGAGTTTTCTCTATAACTAAACAAATATGCACACCAGTGAAACCAAACTTCTCCTATAGGTAGGCCTATGACCACTTTTGGTGTAAGTCAAAATTTCTGGAAACCCCATAAATCTGGGTTACCCTCTTGTCTTTAATTAAAAGCGACCATTTAGCGCTTTTACTCCAACAGGTTGTCGACGAAATTAAAATTACGTTTTTCAAGATAAAAATAAAAGAAAGTGTTGGAAATCTACAACAGATATCTTTGTGTTCCTATTTTTCTCTTGTTACATTTCATTTCCCATTTTCTCTTGTTACATTTCATTTCCCAAAAATATGTTGGAGTACCAATCAAAACTGGTCAAACCTCGGGACGAGCATGAATTTGGCGGAATAGAGAGGCAGGTGGTTTAACGAGGTTCCTCTGCTAAAAAGCCCCGGCTGCCCAACGTCAAAGAAAATGGTTCGGCTGTGCGATCGTGGGTCCTGGCGCGGGGGGGGGGGAGCGATGTTACGAGGTAGAACAGGAACGGTACCTATTCACTGATAAAATCTTCAGGCTGCATAACTGATTAACTCTCAGTAAACCCTTCACGGAAAACCATTTCCTGCGGTTATTTCCCCGATCTGTACCCTCGACTTCACATAATATCAGATTTAATGCAGGACTTATTTTTAACCTCCTTGGATTCGACATAATATAACGTTTAAATTACCGAGCTATGTAGATGTATCTTTGTTTAGATATAAACTTGAAAAGATACGTTTACCTTAGTACAGACAAAAAGAGGTGATCCTTGAAATCAAGGAAAAGGTATATTCAAAGTTCGGTGTGAATGTTTAATTAAGCCGTATCGACTAAAAAAACAAGGTAACGACTGGAAAGCATCACATGATTTTTTTGGGAAACTGTTCCTGGCAAAAACCAAACTGGGGTAAATTCAGTACATCTTCATCTAATAATTAGAGATATCATGTTCTTGAGTACGTGGCATCACGTCATCGGTTTATGGCTGGACGAGATCGCTGACGTCAGTTAATGCATGTACTGGCTTTTAGAAGAGAGAGTGTTCAAAGAGAAAGTAAAGACTGGAAGCCTTCAAAGACGTATTTGATTCATCTGAGACGCCGTGAACCCTAAGTAAGTTGAGAGAAGACATACGTTTCTCATGGATCATTTGAAACCTTTATTCTTATTAAGTAATGTCAATAAAATTATCTTACTGAGCAGGCAGATAAATTCTAGATCATGCTTTTCGTACATGATAACCAGTCATTTATCATTAATTTGTGTCTTTCTATTGTTGCAATTGATGTCGTTTTATTCCTCAGGTTGTTTGAGGCACAGGTCAGTATTCTCTACATAAAGTGACGTCTCTTTCCTCCTCAAAGGACCATGACGTCTAATGACACAGAAGTTGATAAAACAGTTGAGAAACGTGAACACAACGCCTAAAGCAGACACCTGGACAAGCAGAACATAACAGAACCAGATGTTGGAGACTTCCTCCATCAGGTAGCCGATGAGTAACGGATTCGTCATGGTGCCAATAGACGAGGCAAAAAATATTCCGGAAGCCAGTCTCGGCGTCACCGGAAGTAGTTTGGACTCGCACCACGATAAGCCTGATGGGAACAATGCAGACATGCCAAGGCCGGCAAACGCTGCTAGTACAGTCACACCGGTTATGGCTCTTAGATGGACGCTGATGGTGAAACAGGAGAAGGAGAGGAAATTGACACATCCGCATAAAGTCAGTATGTGAGTCGGCGAGAGAATCCTGGCGAGGAAGATCATGAGAAATCTCGAGCAGGCGAAAGAGGCCCAGTAGATGGCAGTGATGTATGCGCCTTGAGATTTACTCAAGTCCTTGAACTCTCGTACCACGAAGGTCATGAGAAAGGAGCCGAATGTATCCTCCACGCTAGAGGAAAAGAAGAAACATAGACATAGACACACGGACAAGAAGATGTGGAGAGGTTTAGGAAGTTTTCTTACATATCCCGTCTTGTCATCTCCGGTCTCACTAATTTTTATCTTTTCTCTCCCTGCCGACCTGTCAGTTATCAACGCATAGAGAAAGGGGAGAGAGCCTGCCAAAGCGATAATACCGGAAATGAGAAAAGCGTAGTGGACTTCCGTTTCCCCTTTTCTCGACTCCGTTATTATCGTTGAGCTGTTAAGAAAACTGCGTGTGCTAGAGTTGGAAAGGAGATCTTTTTCATGCAAAGTCAGATTTTCAAAGCCCTGACTTTGATGTTTTTCCAATCTGCTCGTAATGTTAATCGTGGAAAACTGTGACGTCTCGTTCTCAGGCAGACCGCTGTTGTTCTTGTGCAGTGTGTCGTCGAGTCTTTCTCTCTGGGCGAGGAAAGGTCTGGTGATGAGAGGGGACGTAAATGCTCCAAGGGCGAAAAGCAGGTGGATGATTTGCATAAGTGACCTCCCCTCATTGCCCCATAGCCTCATGTGTTCGGTATTCGCAGCTAGAAAAGATATAAAGAGCAGGGAGCGGGGGGATTGGGGGGGGGGCATGTTAGGGTGAGAGTAGTTTGATTGCATTTTCTTTAAAAGGAAAGGTTAACATAGGTATATAGTTTCCTGAGGTAATCTTTTCTTTTTAATTAATTGTGAGGCAGCGTGGTGGAATCAGGCTCTTGTCAATTTTTGGGCATGTAGAATTATTGGTATCATCTTAAAGCTTGTTCACTTGTGTTTATTTTGGATGAAAAAAAACATCCATCTATCTTGAATACAAGTCGAGATATTTGGAAAAGAAGAAGGTTAGGGTCACCTGTTTTCAGAGGTAAAATTAATGGGGAAATGGCCGCCAAAGATTAGTTATTTCCTTAGCTTAAGAGTCTGTGGTAACTGAATTTTTAAAAAAATTTTGTGCCTTTAATCAACGTTTTTCAGAACAATTCACGCAGAAATGAGTTCTTTAATGGACATGAAAGGTGTCGAGCCAAAAAACAAAAATTTTATCAAAATTCACAAACCTGCGGAAAACTTGCAAGTTTCTTCACTTTGATTATTTTGACGAGAGCCTGATTCCACCACGCTGCCTCTCAATTGATGATGTCTTAATTTCTTGGCGAGTGAATCGTGCCCCTAGGCAAACCTCTGTCTTTGGAAAGACTTGTCGGTCAAGACGTAATATTTCAGAAGAAAAGGATCAACTGTATGCGTATTGGTTTAACGCCCTTGTCAACACTGATAGCTTATTTATGAGATGGGACCTCTAAATCTAATGTCCGCCTCCGATAGGACCGAGCCAAATGACTTTAGAGTCTGGAAAATTCCACAAAACGACCAGAGGTAAAGCACGCTCAATCTGGGATTTGAACCATGGAAGTCGAAACAAAATCTAGCATAATAATAATGGATAGCATTTGTATAGCGCAAATCCCGACTCAACAGCAAATTCTACGCGCTTCACAATCTGCACTTTTACCCTAGCAAACCTGAGAGCATTCTAAAACAACCTCAAATTCCTGGGAAGCGTACAGTGCAAGCAACCATCGACAAAACACTAACATACTGACAAGATCTTTCGCTGTCTATGGCCGGGTACCCATTCCCACCTGGCGAAGTGAGAAAAAATTTTAATGCCTTTCCCAAGGACACAAGGTCAGGCCGGCGGCTCGAACCCCCGAACCTGCAACCTCAAGGCAGCCTAACCACTCGACCTACACGCATACAACCCACTGAGCTAGCGGGGCTATCAAGAAACAGAAGTAAAACTAACGCAACTACGTAACACATACTGATGTTTATCGGGACGCAGTTGTAACTATTTATAAAAATATGTGCATCGAAACATAAATGTATATAAGTATCACATTTGTATGTGTATGTGAAAATGATTTTAAAAAGTATCATAAATATTCCATCTGAACACATTTGTATAAAAGTAGCGTATAATTATTATGTTTGAACATATATGTAAGTCACAGTAGTTGGTCGATATTAAGCACAAGGGGGCTATTCCGAAAAATGTTGTTTTGAGAAAATCAAAGGTAAAGTTTTTGGACATTTGTTCAGTTTCTTTAAAGGACAAGAAGAGTTTTCACTATAATCAAACAAATATACACACCAATGAAACCAATCTTCTCCCATAGGTAGGACAATGACAAATTTTGTTGCAGGTCAAGATTTCTGGAAACCCCCGAAATCGGAATTAGCCCGCTTGTCCTTTATAGCAACAAATAGTAAGAAATCATAGCAATGCATATTTAAACACAAATGTTTAATCTATAATATATGTAACCACATACACATGTAAAATGTAAAACCATCCATAGAAATATTATTAGTATCAGTCGGCGTCAGCCACAAGAGGGGCAAAACAGTATTTTATAACAAATGTCGGACACTATCAGAAATGTTTTATTATGGAGGAGAACCAAATTAGAATCTGTTGACAGGGAGGTCAGTAAAAGAAGATGGCAGTAGATTGAGGACACGCTCAGAAAGCCACCCCACAATGTTACAAGACAAAGCTTACGAATAGATATCTGGGTGGGGGGGGGGGGGCGAAGAAAGAGAGGAAAGCCGAGATTTACCTGGGAACATGAGCTAGAGGCAAATCTCAGACATATCCAACACAGTATATTTAGTTTGTTGGAGGGAGAGAAGAATCGCACAGAGCAGAGACAGGTGGCGTGCCCTTCTTAGCGGCATATACCCAATACCAGGGTGAAGGGGGCACAGAGAGAGAAAGTAAAGAGAGAGAGAGAGGGGGGGGAGAGAGAGGGAGGAGAGAGAGAAAGAGAGAGAGAGGGAGGGAGGGAGAAAGAGATAGGGGGAGAGAGAAAGAGAGAGAGACAGAGAGAGACAGACAAACAGACCGAGAGACAGAGACAGCGAGAAATAGAGACAGTGAAAGAGAAAGAGAGAGAAACAAAGAGAGAAAGAGAGAGAGAGGTGTTATAGGACAAATAATAAAAAACTCACTCGCTCCAAGCAGCCCAATGAACACGCCTCCTAGCACCTTGACAGCGATCATGAGTGAGTAAAGGTTACAGTAAGGGGTCACTATTGCAATCACGCCCGCCCCCAGCAAACTCAGGAAAAGAACAAAAGTCTTGCTTACCTGTGAATAGAAACATTTTGAAAATCAAAATAGATCTAACGTGACTGACATAATATTGGACAATTAGCAAAGTAATCTTTTCTTTTTAGATTGTTGTAGTTTTAATCAACGTTAGTGGTGCTGTTGTTTTATTCTTCAAGAACTTGACAAAGGAACAAAAAGGAAAACAACAACAAGTTTAACAACTGCAAGATTACAGTACGTGTCGCATCGTGTTGGAAGTGGCCGCCAAAGTTTGTTAATTTCAATAGCTTGAGAGTCCTCGAAAACGATAAAATTACATGTTTTGTGCCTTTAATCAACGATTTTCTGAACATTGTAAAATTCTCATGGAAATGTGGTGAGCCAAAAAAAATAATAAATAATTCGATAAAATTTGCCAAAAGTGCCGGATTGTTCAATTTCATTATTTTGACGAGCGCCTGATTTCACCAGGATACCTCACATAATTATGTATTTTAACTTTATGTTAAGAAGCAATGCACCGGGAGCACTACAAGCCCGCACTGCAGCCATGCATAATATCACAACTAAAGGCACATAACTCGGTAACCCTACCCGAACGCCCTGGGGGTCA